CCTAATATATGTCATTCACGAGCTGTCACTGAAATGCATTATTATATCTTATTTTCTCTATTTATCACTTTTATTACCGTTTTGTGAGCTTTAAGATAATTAAAATATATTTTATATATTTATGTTTTGTAAACATAACATTACATTTGTAATGGGCTTAACTTTTACATTCAAAGTTTGCATTTCAAACGCCGCTATCTTATTGTCCATTGAAATGGTTGAGCCGCGCGTGCATTCAATTGCTGTCATTTTCATCAATAATCTTATCGTTTCTAATCAGACAAACACTGATTTTTCTCGAAACAAAGTCTACACAAAACTTATTTAATAATGGGTTAATAAACTATTCATATGATGTTAAAAATGTGTTACGAAATTGTTTTCTGAAATATATGGTTGAGAGCGAAAGATAAGGCATTATCAGCCCTACCAGCGCTCCAAACACAGTGAATATGTGTGTAAGGAATACATGCATAAGAATTCAACAGTAATTGTATTGAGAGTTGGGTTAATAATCTATTGTAATGAATCACATTTGCTTATAATTTTCTCGGCATTTTCGGAGCGCATTATTAAATGGCATAACTCCGTAAGCATTAGCATTAAATTAACACAATTTGCGAGTTTAAATAAAAGTTGCAATTTCTTTATGGGATGTACAGGAGAGACACACGAACAGGAAATCACTCTCTCTTTTATAGGCAGTGATTGATTTATTGCCCGAATTCACATCAAATCCATTTAACTGTCAATTACTATGCAATTAATTAATTGGTTTCAAGTTTTTAATAATTCCCAATACCTATAATTAATCACACAAAATATATACCTCTAAACCTATTTTCATTTATATTTTAAGCATACATCGAGATTCGTATGCAATTAATTAAATTACAATTTTAATGAATGCCGACTTAATTTAATATATAGAGAAATTGGGAATTTTTATTATGGCATTATTTTTTAATGATATTGCATTTCAATAAAAATGCAATATTTTATTTAAGTAAAAATTGTTGACAAAAGTTGTCTCAAGTAATTGATACATACCTTCGAGAGATGTGACAAAAGTGATGGACACGAGTGAAAGCGTGGTCCACAACACTATGCTTTTTGAAAGCATATTTCACTATAAGCTTAGCGTATATTCCATACAATTTGGTTAACAATTCATAACTTTTGATTATAGTATTATTATAAATAGCGGCTCATAAAGAAACAAAAAACTATTTCGCAAAACTCAAACCACACAAACACCAGAAGCGCTACATATTTTCTGTCATTTATTTGAATATCGGCTTTAAATGAGAAATAATGAGACAATAAGTTAATACAGTATTTGAATAAACAGTTGTTTCCAAACGAAACGCTGTTCTCATTCTTTGGCAGAAGAATCAAAAGCAAAGTTTTCGCCGAAAAAACTTCTGAGCGCTAAGAATGTCGACGTCAGGAGTTGTTCAACAAGTTTTGCTAAAGAAAATGACTGAACTCTTTCAAAAGAGGGCAACTTTTTTAAGGGCTTAAAACCCCAGATATATAACTGTTATATACTGTTCCAGCCATTGGTAGTGATGGGCGAAAAAAGCGGGTCATCTCTGAGATGAACACTGAGTTTGATTAGCGATTCGAGAGCCGAGAGAATGAATTGGAGAGAAAAAACGTCCCGAAACTATGTATCGAAAACTGTTTGCGTGAATTGAGAATAGGATTACAAAACAAGTTTTTTATCCGATTCTCTCTCTCTCTCTCTCTCTCTCTCCAAAAGACACTTTCAAAAAGTTTTTTACAAATTTGAAAGTAAGTCAGAGAGCGTTCGCCTTAAATCATACACACAATGAACGCCTTCCACACCAATTACCACATAATGGATAAACAAATACAAATACTATCACATTATTTGCATTGCATTTATGAATCAGTTATTCAGTGGTGTCGACACTCAATCATTACATCAAAATCCCATTCTTTGCCCAAAAACTCACGGCGGGTGTAGATATAGGGATAGGGGGGATAGGGGTGCATATGTGGGGGGCATTTGTTTGGAAACACAATCAAATCTACAAACACAACTACAGGTGCGCCAATTTAGGTGCCAAAACGGTCTTTTAATACAATTAATAAAAGTTTTGGTATTTTAAATGATTTTTTAACGTGAAATTAATGAAATTATCCCTGTTTAAACATTAATCTCTGTGTTTAATGCGAACACAATTGACTTATTAATGAAAACGGTTGCTGAATAAAAATTGAATGAATTTTGATGTTATCTGCAGATTAATCTTAACTGAATTATAATAAATTATTATTTTCTATGCATAAAGAGTCAATATTTTGAATAAAAAAACAGACGTTTATATCAATTCCTATTAAATAAACCATAAATTAAATAAAAATAAGAGATTTCTTTTATACAGTTATATAATACAGAGATTTTTAAAACTTTTTATTAAACATATATATGAAAGAGAGGGCTAAAGGCTGAATATTAACAACAAAAAACTTCCTAAACTCCAAAACCACAAAAAATATGCTTTTTATCATAGAAATCGCCACTTTTTTGTTAACCTTTGCCAAAAATAAGGCCAATAAAAACATATTTTATTAATATATTGTATATCAGAAACTTATTGTCAGCTCTAATACACCCCTCCGTCTCAAATAATTGGGAGAAAAATTGCACCAAAAAAGTCCACTCAATTCAATACTATTCAATCAATAGTCATATACCGGTAATTGAATTTCAATTCATAACTCCATTCATTGGTATAATTAACGGTATACTACACGACGGGTATATGTAATAGTATGGGAAAAAAGTAGCGCAAAGTGTTAGCTATGATATGAAGCGATTGAATACCCGAAAAGTGTAATAAAACAGTAAAAACTAATTGTTTGCGAAGATATTAATTGTCGATATGTTTGCGTAACTCTCGAAACATGAGTTGTTTGCTAAACACCGGCAGAATTATCGCTATATTTCTGATACAAACATTTCAACATTATGTGCAGCTTTTGTCTACAGAAAAAATTAATTTACGGTTCATTTAACGCAATATTAGATACGGAAGTGTTTAAGACAGTGACGGCATTAATGCATAACTGCCTCAAGAGTTGGAGTCAATTATATTCGCACAAAAGATAACGACTGAACAAATAGTTTAAAGAAATAAGAAATTAAAAACTTATTTTTAGACACCTTTTAAAATAAACGCTAAAATCATTTGCAAAGTAAAGCGAAAACTTTTTTCTTCACTCAAACTCTTTGGCCACAAAACACATGCATTGAAATCGCTTCGCGAGACAAGTGGTGCCCCCTTTTGGGCCCATTTCACACTCAACGCATGCATTCATTGCGTTTAAAGGTCTGCAATAAAAGTCACGTTTTGTTGTGTTTTTGGATTTGATTCACACATCCATTGACCACTTCTTGGGATCAAATCATGGGTCGCCGCAAGGGTTTCGATAAGAAGTCTTCAGTGAAGTTCAAATTAGTGCACAGAAGCCAAAGGGATCCATTGGCGGCCGACGAGTCCGCCCCTCAGATGGTGTTCGTCGACATCAACGAAGACAATGAGCGCAAAGAGGAGCAGAAGAAGTATGGCATCTATTTCGACGACAATTACGATTATCTGCAGCACATACGGGACGTGGATCCGCTCACCGAATGGCAACCCGTCGAAGAGCGCGAGAAAAGCAAGAAGAGTGACCTCCAGTTGCCGTCGTCTCTGTTCCCGTCGGCCGTCGAGGAAAAAGAGGGATTACTGAACAAAGCGGTGCTTCCGGTGGGCCCTCAACCCGATTGGGACCCCGAAGTGGTGGCCGCGATGGACGAGGACTTCGACTTCGATGACCCCAACAATCAGATCGACGACGACTTCGTACTGCAGGCGGAGGAAGAGGTGGGCGAAGAGTCGCACCATAAGAGCGGCGCCAACGATGACGACGACGACGACTGGGAGGACGTGTCCGACAGCGAAGAGTCGACTCTTTGTGGTTCGGATGAGTCGGGCGACGATTCGGGCGGTCAGTTCTCCGACGAAGAAACGAAATCTCATTTCACGAACTATTCGATGAGTTCTTCAGTGATGCGGAGGAATCAGAACTTAACTCTTTTGGACCAAAGGTTTGAGACGTTGTTTGAGACGGAATACGCCGACGAATGCGAGATCGGAGCTCTTGATTTCGACGACATCGAGGGTACCATTGATCCAAACAATAGCGAACTGATGGCCGATTTGGTCGATGAGTTCCAGCGAATGAAGAACGAGAAGCAGGTCTACGAGAAAATGGATTCAAAAGAGTTTCACGACTTCTACCGAAAGCGTCGAAACGACGCGAAAGAGAGCGAAGAGTTGACTGAAATCGAGATCTTCGAGAACCGCAAGAATCGAGACAACGATGGCTTCGACTGCGAGTCAATTATCAGCACTTATTCTAATCTCTATAATCGGCCGAAGATTATCACCGAAAGGAGTATCAAATATCCACAAAGAGTTCGCATCAACGAGAAGACGGGTCTTCCTGTCGGTGTCCTCGAGAAGCCCGGACTCACGGCCAAGAAGTTGGCAAAACTGGACGCAATGAACGCCGCGGACACGGATTCGGTGAACAAGAGCTCGAAGTCTGTTCGCTCGAGTGCTTCGCGTTTGAGTGAACTCTCTGTGCGGCCATCGGATGAGACGCCGGAGCAGAGGAGACAACGCAAGAGTGAACTCAAAGAGTATAGACGAGAGCGGAGGCTCGAGAAGAAGGCCAACAAAGAAGCCTTTAAGACCGAAGACATCCGACTCAACAAAGAAGTTATGAATTTAAAGAAGAGTCTGAATGCCGTGAAACTCGTGTGAAATGTGTCGCCATTTATGAGATAATTATTTAAATATATATTCATTTAATTATGTTTTGAAAATCATTTAACAAATAAAAAGTAAATTTTATATTTCGCTAATATTCCGAGTTTTATGCAATTGGTTTGCATTTGATTAGTGGTACTATTCAGTGGTGTTCATCTGATAATACAAGGATGTGCTCCATATTTGCGGCCAACTCGGTGTCCGGGTTGTGGTTGGCGTCCGACCCATCGCCTCGACGCAACTCACGGTCCTCCAGACCCGCCTTGCGGTCGTCCCCTTCGGCACTACCGGTGCTCTCCGGCGAGTTATCACTCTCTGAGTCTCGCCCTTCATATTCGGGATATTCATTCACGAAGTCGAATAACATAGCGAACACATCTTCGAACAGTTTCTTCATGTTTCTGAGCAAAACCAATGACATTAATAGGCTGTCCGATAGGCTTACGTCTCAAGCATACTGTTCTCTACTATGACGCCTCAGGTTATCCGCCATATCCTTCGCACTCCACATACCGTTCCATATAGTGGTCACGATTGACGTGTATTGAGCCCATGGTTTCAATACAGATGACACCTCTCTGTGGTCGTTAAACTCCAGGTCCGCACAACCCGATCGCAACAACTCAGCCCTTACTTTATCCATCGCGTCATTCAACTTATCGATCGCCGGTCTATTCAAGCAAAGCAAGAAAGAAAAGGGGGAAGTTAGAAAGAAAGAAAAGGGGGAAGTTAGAAAGAAAGAAAAGGGGGAAGTTAGAAAGAAAGAAAAGGGGGAAGTTAGAAAGAAAGAAAATAGGGTCATCTCATAAGATGAACACCGGAGTCGTTACACTTGAGCGCCGATAATAAACGCTTCACAACAACTGCATTGCATTGCATCGCAAACCAAA